CCTGCCTCTGCCTCCCAAGAGCTGGGATTAAAGGCGTGAGCCACCATTGCCTGGCTACAAATCCTTTTCTTAAGCCAAATACTTTCTTCCTTGTATTTCCTCTTTCTCCTTCCCTTGCCCTAAGCCCTTGCTTCCTCCCGCATTCCCTGTGCAGCCACCTCCTCCTCATACCATTTTCTGTTTTCTTCTTTTCCTTCTCCCTTCCCCTTTTCCTTACTGTGACTTCCCACAGAGATCTACCTGCCTCTGCCTCCCAAGTGCCAAGATTAAAGTTCTGAATGTTCTTCTTTAGAAGACCAAGGGTGAGGACTGGAAAGAGTGCCCAGAAGTTCAGAGCACTGGTTGGTCTTCAGGTTCTATTCCCAGCACCCACATGACTGTTCATAGCTGTCTGTAAATACAGCTCCAGGGATCTGAGGCACAACTGCCTTTAACTCCAGTTTTATAGGGTCTGATGCCCTCTTCTGGGCACTAGACTTTCAAAAGTGATACATGCAGACAAAATACCTATACACATTGAACAAACACAAACGTTTTATATTGCCAGTATAAACTTAGCAGTGGGTAAAGAGAATTTCCACTTTCTAAGCCTCATTTCCATGGTAAAGTGTAAGGGCCAGCACATCTCCCTGTCACAGTGCACGCATCCTTTCCTGTTCAGATCAGGTGGTTGAGGCAGGAAGATGATTAATTTTAGGCTAGGCTGGACCATGGAAGTATAAGAAGGACCATGATCAAAGCATACTATACATCTGAGAACGTGATAATAAAACCCATTACTGGGTGTAGTTAATATGTACAAATTCACATCGCTCTGTGGTTACTGCTGTTTGGGAGACAGACAGAATGCCATTTTCTGTGTGGTTTGTGACTATATGTTTGAAGCATAGAATCCTTCTTTAAATTTTTAAGGTATTTTTTACTGTTTGACGTATGTGCTGGAGGACAGAGGGAGATACAGCTGAGCCGTCTTTCCAGCCCCAAACCTTGTTTGTACTGAGGAGCCGTGTAACTCATTTCATACTCCCCCTGCCAATCTGTCTGCTTCATGGGAGAAATAAGGACAAGAGAGAATGACTGAGGCATTTATTAGACACAGCCACTTGGAGAGTGTGTTATTTTATTTTTTAAAACTTTACAGTGTAGCCAGGCGGTGGTGGCGCATGGCTTTAATCCCAGCACTTGGGAGGCAGAGGCAGGCGGATTTCTGAGTTCGAGGCCAGCCTGGTCTACAGAGTGAGTTCCAGGACAGCCAGGGCTATACAGAGAAACCCTGTCTCGAAAAACCAAAAAAATAAAATAAAATAAAGAATAGTTTATTTAAAAAAAAAAACTTTACAGTGTATCTGCAAGTTGATAAGGAAATTTCAACACTCGCTTAAAATTCTGGTGAACTCTCTGGCTCCCAGTGTGAGCCAGTGTTTAATATTTGTGTCCATTTGAGCTCAGAGAGGCTTCAGATGATGAGATCCTCTGCAGCACGTAGGTGACATTGTTGCTAACTGGAGGAGGAGAGGGAGAGCAGGAGCAAAGTCAGTCGTCATCTGTGCATGGATGAAGTTCTCACAGCAGTGTGTGCTGCCTCACACCTTTATTCCCAGCTCTTGGGAGGCAGAGGCAGGGGGATCTCGGAGTGCAAAGCCAGCCCAGTTTACATTGTGAGTTCCAGGACATCAATCCAAAATTTAGAGGATTGATGATGTCCATGACCATAAAATAAAAGTTATAGAAGTTCTTGACTTGCTTTGTCCAGTCAAATTTCTACCAACCGTTTTATTTAAAGCTTCAGAAGTGTTTAATGCTTTTTTTGCAAGCAGCTTTCATATGTCCTGAGTTTTCTTGGGTGAGGGACCACATGTCATGCATGCAAGGCAAGCGCTCTGCCTGCCGCTGAGCTATACCTCCGGCCCCACTGACTGCACTGCCCTTGAAACTCACTATGTGGCCCATGCTGACTTCAGTCTTCCTTCCTAGCTTTTCATAGGATTGTACCACCTTAGCACTGAGAATTTTAATCTGCATATTAGTATCTAGTTTAGTGAGGAATGTTTTTTTGAAGAGTCTGCTTATTTTTGTTTTCAGTTTATGATTTCTTTATCTTACTTTTTCAGTTGGCCGTAAACCAAAGACCCAGCAGTCACCAGTTTCCAATGGGTCTCCTGAGTTAGGAATCAAGAAGAAAGCCAGAGAAGGAAAAGGTAATTATGGATGGACATTTTGGAAATAAAATACCCCTTCCTTTTTTATTTTTTATTTTTATTTTTTAGGTGACAGTTTTTCAGGATTGTTTCTAGTAGATGCACATATTACATGGGAGTAGCATCTCTTAGTATTTCTTAATGAGGGATGGACCAGCATTATGGGGACCTTTTATCAAAATAGCCATGCCTCAGAGAGGTGTGGTAGCTATTGTATTTGGTGCTGTCCATAGGGCAGTGCAAACCATTGTTTTTGGGACCATGTTTTAGAGGACACTTGTATGTGGCACTGATCTCACATTTAGCCACTTGACTAGAAGAGGCTATACTCATTCATCTACCTGTGTGGGTGTGGAAGTCAGTCTCTGAGGGCCAGCATCTCTGAATTGTCCTGTGGATTGAGTTCAGTGTCAGTCTTGGCAACAGGCGCTGATATTTAAGGTACCTCTGGAGTTCTACATATTTTCTGTTTTTCAAGAAAGGTTTTTCTGTGTAGCCCTGGCTGTCCTGGAACTCACTATGTAGACCAGGCTGGTCTTGAATTCAGAGTTCCGCCTGCCTTTGCCTCCCAAATGCTGAAATTAAAGACGACCACCATCACCTGGCTGTGGGTTTTTTTTTTTTTTTTTTTTTTTTTTTTTTGGTGTGTGTTTCTTTTCTCCCTCCCTCCCTCCCTCCCTCCCTCCCTCCCTCCCTCCCTCTCTTTCTTTCTCACACTGGAATTATAAGCAGTTATGAGTGCTAAGAATTAAACCCAGGTCTTTTGCAAGAAGCAATCAATGTTTTTAACTACTCAGCCATCTTTCCAGCCCCTCTGCTTTCTAATTTGTTGTGTTTGATGATTTCTTTTTTGGTTTTTCGAGACAGGGTTTCTCTGTGTAGCCCTGGCTGTCCTGGAACTCACTCTGTAGACCAGGTTGGCCTCGAACTCAGAAATCCACCTGCCTCTGCCTCCCAAGTGCTGGGATTAAAGGCGTGCGCCGCCCCCCCCCCCCCCAGCGTGTTTGATGATTTCCAGTAACATTAGGCGTATGTGTCTGATGATCCCGTAAACAAATTGTCGCTAGTTGATAGGTAAATGTTTTCAGACTGATAATCTTAAATTTTTTATTGATATGTTTAAGTTTGTCCTATTTTTAATAAGTTTATTATATAAATCTACTGAAAACTGTCTAATAAGTCCACAGAGAAATTTGGTATTAGTTATATCCAAAAGGAAAAAAGAACAAACTCCAATTTCATTGTTCTTTTCTTTTGGATTTGGAATGGATCTGGTTTCAGACATTGATTTCCTTTTCTGCCCTTGGTCATTTTCCGTTTCTACTGTGTTAGATTTTGTCTTTCAGTGCAGATTGAGAGGCTGGAGGATGTAACGTAGCCGGTAGGAATGCGTATTTAGTAGATACCTAGAATACACATTGTCCAGCAATGAGTAGAGCACTGTGCCACTGCCATTAACAAATCTGAAAGCCTGGGTACAGGAGATGTGACAGTATAGAATCTAGGGCCTGACATCTTAAGAACTGGGCACGGCACATACTTTTAATCCAGTTAATTCTCAGGAGGCAGAGGCAGGTCGATCTCTTGAATTTGAGGCCAGCGTGATCTACATAGCAAGTTTCAGATCTGGAAAGGCTGCATAGTTAGCCCTGTCTCAGAAAGAAGTAGCAAATATGTAGTTGTAAATTAAGGATATTTTCTTTGCCTTTAATCCTGTTAATGAATTTTAAGTTAATGTCTGTCATTGTTTTTGCTTTGTTTTTAAAGGAAACACAACCTACCTGTGGGAGTTTCTTTTAGACCTGCTTCAGGATAAGAACACCTGTCCCAGGTATATTAAATGGACCCAGAGGGAGAAGGGCATCTTCAAGCTCGTGGACTCAAAGGCCGTCTCGAAGCTCTGGGGAAAGCATAAGAACAAACCAGACATGAACTATGAAACGATGGGGCGAGCCTTGAGGTGAGAATGATCATAGGCTAGTTCCTAAGTAGAACTTACTTGTCTCTTTAGATTGTCTGTTGTTACAGCGGTTTAAAGAAAAGCTTAAAAACAGATCCCTTGATGTAACTTAAAACTTTGAAGATAATCTAGAAGAATTTTTTAGATTTAGATGGGAAAAGAGAAGTTTGGTCTATATGCCTAAAATGTCAACGTTGAAAAAATTCTTACTTACAGGAGGTGAATCTGCGTTAAGGACTGTTCCAGAATAGGAATTGTTACCTTGTAGGCTTTAAGACTGGGCATAGTGCACAGGCCTTGCCATCAGTTGTACTGGTTGAAAATTAAAGAGAGAAGGATGAGTTCAAAGTCGTCCTCTTTTACATAGTAAGTTTGAAGCCAGCCTGGGCTATGATGAGATCTGTAAGAACCTTAAATGAAATACATTTTCCAGACTTAATTTACTTTTAGTCCCTGCAATGATGTAAATGACTTTATCTTGAAAATGAAAAAAAAAATTGTTGACATTGGTTGGTGTGAGAAATCCATTAAATCCCCAGTGAACACATTATAGTATGTATTTCTTTGAGACAGGTCTTGCTATGTAGCCCAGGCTGGCCTGGAGCTTATGTAAACAAGCTGACTTTGAACTTGCATCGATTCTCACAGCTTCCCAATGCTGTTACTTCAGGCATGAGCTACTAGTGTTATGTGACAGTGTTCACATATTCCACAGATTTCTGATTATCCCATAGAAAGTCAGATTGTTTTTATAACAAATTAGAGTTGTTTATATTACCAATAAAGTATTCTGTGTCTACGTTAAGCTTTTCTTTCTTTTTTTTTTTTTTTAACTTTATTTATTTATTATAAGTACACTGTAGCTGTCTTCAGACACCCCACAAGAGGGCATCAGATCTCATTGCAGATGGTTGTGAGCCACCATGTGGTTGCTGGGATTTGAACTCATGACCTCTGGAAGAGCAGTCAGTGCTCTTAACCACTGAGCCATCTCACCAGCCCCCACGTTAAGCTTTTCTTAAAGAGACAGAACAAGGTATTCATGGTGGAATGTACTGTGATCTCATCACTTGGAAGGTGGAGGAAGGAGGGTCAATCTAGAGTTGGAAGCTAGCCTGGTCTATAAGAGAAGTGGCCACGGGGTGCTGGAGATGAAGCTAGGTGGTAGCACTTTCCCCCAGTAGGGAGTCTCTAGGTTCAGTCGTCGATGCTACAACTTTTTTTGGACATGCCAAGGTCACAGAGCTGTATTAGCGATTTCTCACTGATATGACAGAAGCAACTTTAAGGAAGGGCATATGGTGGTAGGACTCCAGCTATCGCCAGCCAGACAACAGCAGTGAATACTTAGCTTGCCTTCCCCTTTTGATTTGGTCTGAGATTCTGAGTCATAGAAAAGTGCTGCCCACAGTTCTGTTGGGTCTTCCTACTTCAGCTGAATCTAGTCAACCCTACATGCTTCTAGAGCTCGTCAAATTGACAGTCAGTATTAACTTGTGGTGTGGCATACCAACTTCATTGTCACCAAATCTGTAATCTTAGGTGTAGTGTGGTCCAAGTGTGAGGAGCTCTCATCTACAGGAAGAAGTAAATGTCTCTGTTCCGTGTTTGCTGCGTGTGGTTTTATTGGAGAAGATGATAGTACATTTGATTAATTTAGTCATTTTTTTGCTACAGATACTACTACCAAAGGGGAATTCTTGCAAAGGTTGAAGGACAGAGGCTTGTATATCAGTTCAAGGACATGCCCAAAAACATAGTGGTCATCGATGATGACAAAAGTGAGACCTGCCCCGAAGACTTGGCAGCAGCTGCTGATGACAAGTCTTTAGAACGAGTGTCACTATCTGCAGAAAGTCTCCTGAAGGCAGCAACTGCCGTCCGAGGTGGGAAAACCTCATCTCCTCTGAACTGCTCCCGAGCGGAGAAGGGTGTGGCTAGGGTTGTGAACATCACTTCCCCTCCTCACGATGCTTCGTCCAGGTCTCCTACCACCACAGCACCTGTGTCAGCAGCAGCAGCTCCAAGGTGAGGGAGATGGTGAACTGTAGCATAGGGTTTGTGTTTGGATGCTCCATGGAACAAATGAACGGTCCTTGTTTGAAACTGTCTCGGCCAGCACTGTAGGAACACTTTTCAAGGACTGGATCTTTTCAAGTATACTTATAGCTATTTATAGAGGAACACACCTGGAGGCCTAAGTACTGTGGAAGTTGAGGCAGGAGAATCACAGGTTCAAGGCATGCCTTTGCTACAGAGTATGCGTTCTAAGCTAGCAGTAAGTGAGCAAGACCTTGCCCGAAATGCTGGGTACGTGGCTCATGGTAAACACTTGATTAGCATGCAGGACCTTAGGTCCAGTCCCCAGGGGGGAGCCATTTTTTGCTATACTTCTGTGCAACTGTAAAAGTTGGGAACACCAGCCGGGTGGTGGTGGCGCACACCTTTAATCCCAGCACTTGGGAGGCAGAGGCAGGCGGATTTCTGAGTTCGGGGCCAGCCTGGTCTACAGAGTGAGTTCCAGGACAGCCAGGACTACATAGAGAAACCCTGTCTCAAAAAAACAAAAAAAACAAAAAAAAAAAAGAGTTGGGAACACCGATTTTAGGTATTTGGATTTGTAATTACTTTTTAACATAAGACTCATTTTCCCATTTAGTGTTAAATATAACCAACTTGTTTTTAATCTACCAGGACAGTTCGTGTGGCAATGCAAGTCCCTGTGGTAATGACGTCACTGGGTCAGAAGATTTCAACTGTGGCAGTTCAGTCAGTCAATGCAGGCACACCATTAATAACCAGCACCAGTCCAGCTACAGCCAGCTCTCCAAAAGTAGTCATCCAGACAGTCCCGACTGTGATGCCAGCCTCCACTGAAAATGGAGACAGAATCACCATGCAGCCTGCCAAGATTATCACCATCCCTGCTACTCAGCTTGCACAGTGTCAACTGCAGACAAAGTCAAATCTGACTGGATCAGGAAGCATTAACATTGTTGGAACCCCACTGGCTGTGAGGGCGCTCACCCCTGTTTCAATCGCCCATGGCACACCTGTAATGAGACTATCCGTGCCTGCTCAGCAGGCTTCTGGCCAGACTCCTCCTCGAGTTATCAGTGCGGTCATAAAAGGGCCAGAGGTTAAATCAGAAGCCAAAAAGCAGGAGCACGATGTGAAAACCTTGCAGCTGGTAGAAGAAAAGGGGGCAGATGGGAACAAGACAGTAACTCATGTGGTGGTTGTCAGTGCGCCCTCTGCTATTGCCCTTCCTGTGACTATGAAAACCGAAGGGCTAGTGACGTGTGAGAAATAACCAAGCTCCTAGGGACTGCAGACATTTGCAAGGGAAGTCATCAAGAAAAGTCAGAGGAGGACTTTCAAACAACTGTGCATATAAGAAAGCAATCAGACTTACTGGAAATAAATTACCTATCCCATGTTTCAGTGGGAAGTGAACTACACATTGAGATGCTGACAGAAAACTGCCTCTTAAAGTAAGAACAACTGAACCCTCAATAAAAAAAAAGACTGAAAGGGACCAAGCAGCTCACTACAATATCACGTTACACTAAGAGTTGGAACACTAACACCTGTAAGAGGTTACATAGTTTTCAGTGGGGCGGGGTTGGGATGGGTGATGTCATTGTTACAAATAGCATTTTTTGATGCATTTTATATGCATACCAGCAATTAGCACTGTGCTCGTGCAGTGTCACTTAACTGGTGCTACGTGAAGACTCTGCTAATACAGGTATTCTAGAATGTGAACTGAGTGGATCCAAAAGCTTCACAGAGAGGACAAGGATAGGAAGATCTAGTGCGCTTTTGTTTGTTTGTTTTGTTTTATTTTTTGATTTTGAATATATATATCATAGCTTAAGCTGTTTTAAAACAAAGGCCTTAGACTAATTTTTGGTTTCCTTTCTTGAAATAAGCTAATGGCTTGTTTGTGTAAAGCTTTTTTATTAAAAGAAAAATTTTAAAAATCTTGTACCTAGCACAGTATTGTTATAGAATTTACATGTAACATTTTCTATGGTAGTTTAAGTCTGTCGGTTTCTTAATTGTGAAGAGATTAACAGTTGGCTCTGGCCCTTTACTGTACCACACCTGCGTCGCTCAAGTCACCCTACCGTCTGCAGACATCGGTACCAGTTCTTCTGTCATTCGACATTCAGGCTCGCATGAACTTGCCAGGTAGCTCCAGGCCCTGGCCTTTGTTTCCTTTCTCAGTCTTTTTCTTTTTCTCCTTTTTTTCTCTTTTTCTTTTTTAGTTGACATTTAAGAGGGAAAGTACCAGTGTTCAGATTTGAACTATAATAGTTTGTATATTCAACATTTGAAGTATATTCTATTTTGTTGTACTCTTGTTTCAAAGTGTATTCAAGTAGGTTTTGAAATATAGAAGTGAAATTTATCTTGTGGTTTTGGTCTCTGGTGATATTTTTCACAATGCTCAAAAGCCAGTCCAGGGTGTCCTTTCAGTTATGCAACAGAAGTCTGAGGTTTTCTTAATGACCACCTGAAGAAATGCTACTCCAGCTCTGGCTTTGTCCCATTATAGATATTTGGCAACTATCTGCACATTCCCACTTTCTTTATAACTATAGTCACATACTTAACAAATACTGTGTTCTAGTTGGCTACATGTAATGGATTTTTCAGCACTAGTGGTGGATGGGCTGCCTGGCGTGTGCAGGCCCCTGGGTCTGTCCTAGCCGCGCAGGTACTGAGTCGCCTCCATTCTGTCAGACCATTTGTTTCTACCCGTTAGATCTTTTATGGGTAGAAAGTAATGGCTGGCCTGTACAGGGGAAGACTGAATGAAGGACCAGAATCACAAGTTTCTTAGTGTCACACAATTATAATTAGGTCCTCCTCTACATCTTAGTATTTTCTTCCACAAAGGAAAAGTTGTCCATTTTAGAAATTTAGAATTTAGATTCTAAATTTTAAAATTTATAATTTTTTGCTTTTGTATATTTAACGTAACACTATTTATAGCAGCAAAGATTTTTATGAAAGTGCCCTTTCTAGCCTTTTTTATAAAAACTAAACATTTTAAAAATTCTGTGTATGGGTGTTTTGTCTGCATGGCTGTGTACTCATGTGTACTGGTGGAGCCCAAGGAGGCCAGAGAGTGGGTCATAGCCACTGCAGCTCAGGTTACAGATGGTTTTGAACCTGTTCTTCTGGAAATGCAGCCAACACTCTTAACTGCTATTCTATCTCTCCAGGGTACATTCCACACACTTATGGAAGGGTAATTTTTAAAACTAGGTTGAGCCGGGAAGTGGTGGCGCACGCCTTTAATCCCAGCACTTGGGAGGCAGAGGCAGTCGGATTTCTGAGTTCGAGGACAGCCTGGTCTACTGAGTGAGTTCCAGGACAGCCAGGGCTACACAGAGAAACCCTGTCTCCAAAAAAAACAAAACAAAAACAAACAAACAAAAAACCTAGGTTGATTTGATTCTTACCCCTTGAGAATTTACCTCAAAATTTACCTCTTAAAGCACACCTTAAATACTTCAGCCTTCAAAATCAATGCTGTGCAGTTATTTTTTCATCAAGTCCCTTTTCAAAGGTACATGCCTGGACCTCTGAGTCCTGAGCCACACAGAACATATACAGAATTTGGTTACCTTTGCTAACATGTCTTAACAGCTAAAGGTGCTAAATTTTAAGTAGATACTTTTTTCTGCATTCAGTTAGTTGATTTGAACTTTCTTCTAAAAGCAACAAAACATTTCAGACAAACATCTAAAACCTAGATTTGCAACTGTAACTACAGCTTTCAAACTTGGCCACTCTGAATGATAAAGTCAATATAATGTGTTTATACTTTGTGTCCAGCATTTTTGGAGAAAAGCCACAAAATCATGGCTTGATGCATTTCCAGCCTCTCCAGGCCTTTGCACTGTGATGAACAGTCTGTGTTTACTCCTTAGGTGACTTTCCAGTAGCAGTTCCAGCCTTCTCACCAGATGACGGTGTGCATCTTCAGAGAGCCCAGGCTGGACCCTTTGTTACAGAAGATCTCACTTGAGCAACCATCCTTGTGTGCCTCCTATGTGTCAGCATCTCTCCCTGGCTCAACAGTTACAGTCATTCAGTATTTTCTACCACACCATTTTTTTTTTCTCAATGGGGAGCCAGCCTCACAGTGTTCATTGAAGTTCACCAATAGCCTAGTTTCCAAATGAAACCCAAATTTGAAAATGTTTTTAAAGTTATAGTGTGTCCATGCATGAAGGAGATCAGAGGACAAGGTTCAGAAGTCAGTTACTCTCAAGTCATGAGACTTAGTCACAAGCACCTTAACCTAGTCATCTCAAATGCCCCATACCACATCTTTACATAACTCCCGTGCCTGCATATATGCTTGTGTACCACATGTATGAGGTGCCTGTGTACCACATGTATGAGGTGC